AAACCATACTGTAATAACTAATTCGCTCGTCCCACACCACTCAATCAAATGTCACCCTTAGAGGCCTAAGACTATCTCTAAAGAAACTCTTTTATAGAACTGAATTTGCTCAAATGATCATACAACTATACGAAAAAACATTCATTTAATAGATATTCGTATTTGAAGTATATATATTTTATTACTCTTCAAATTTAATATACCATATAAAATAAATATTTTAGCTCTTAAAATTGCATTAAACAAGTATTGAGAACTTAATATTTTGAAATTTGAATTGAATTTCTAAATATGAATATAAATTAATAAAATTATTAAAATTCCACACTAAAATTTTTAGTTTAATTTGTTTGTTTCAAAAAATACAAATAATCATAAAATCATATGAGTACGGAGTATTATTTAATAGATAAACATATTAAAAAGTATACTATATATACATGCTAATATCATTTAAATTTAACTATATACCATAGAAATATGTGAGTATGTTTTTTTTTATTTATTGTTTACTATAGATGTCGTCATTCACATATTATTTTGAACGGCTTATTTTAGATGAACCACATTTGTCCTATAACATACATTTCTCTCGTCTAAACCACATTTAAATCATAACGCAATAAGTAATTCACGCAACCCACACCACTCAATCCAATGTCATCCTTAGGGGTCTAAGAACATCTCCAATGGAATACAATTTTCTTATATATATTTTACTCTAAATAGAGAAATTCTACAGAATTGAATATGCTCCAATGGTCCACTCTATAATTCATATTATGATGAAGTGTTTCTATTTTTGAGTAACTCTAGCTTCAAAGGTTTATTCTACAAGACCATCTCTAATGGTTGCTTCTATTTCTTACTCCAGATATAGAGTACTCTAAACATAGAGGAGAGTTTTGTTCCAATGGTTAACTATAATTTTTTACTTTAAAAAATATTCTTACTATATTATTTTTCCATTTATTTATTAATTTATTACTTAATCCATAAATTTTGAAATGTTCAAATTTTACCCTTATATTAGATATTGCAACAATAACACAATACAATTACAATAGTATTGAAACTAAATGGTTGTTTTAAAACGAAAATATTATTACGACACTTAAAAAATGACATACATTCATTATTAGGCATCATTATCATTAGTATATTTCTTCCACAAATGATCAATTAGCACGTTTCGTAGTGAGAAATGAGCTTCTTTGTCTTTGATTATCCTATAGCTAATAAATTCTTGGAACCGAGAACTTTCATCATCCACTATCTCGCTTTGGAGGAGGAGCTTCACTTTCAACTCCAGTTACATGTTATGTAATATTATACATGTACTCATTATGTCATGTATACAATATTTTCTCCAAAACGAGCTGGACCCTTTACAATCGCAAAATGCGATTGGAGAACTTCAAAAGCATGTTCCACATCTTTTCTACATGCTTCATGTTGTGTAGCAAAATATTTTTTAGGACCACTTGGTTCATAAATATTTTTCATTATAGTAGATCATTTTGAATATATATCATCGGCTAAATAATAACCCATGTTGTATTATTTTCCTTGGATTATATAATGAGCATGAGAAGCAATACCTTGGGAAAGATTGGACAAAATATGGGAAGATTCCAACACATTGATGTCATTATTGGTGACTGGCACTTCCAAAATAGGCATGTCATCCAAAGATCATAATCTGCCATTTCTTTGAAGATTATAGTTGATGATCCACTACGTCGCGTATATTAGACCCCATGTAGTAGAACAATTTTTCCATTTCCAATGTATGCAATCAAAATGGCCTAACATCCCTGGAAAACCTTGCTTTTCATAAATATAAAGAAGTCGGGCAACGTCATTAGGTGTTGGTGAGTGTAATTAAGTACTGCTGTGAAAATATATTCACTATAGCCCGACAAAATCTTTTCATGCTTTCGATTGCTGTTGATACGCGTATTTTAACATATTCATATGTGGTATCTGTTGGTAGTCACTAATATTCGAAACAAAGCTGTTCCTTTTTGAATAGATGGTAATCCAAGTCTATTAACTGTATCTCTTATTTGTATGAAATAGTTGTCTAGATTCTCAATTGTTGCGATAATACGAAGGAAAAGGAAACGAGACATATGACACCTTATGCGAAACATAACTTCATTATAATTTGGAGTCTCGGAAAAGTAATCGTTGAACAATCAATGATGTGCGATTTCTCGATCACGGAAGATAAGAAACGCCCTTGAGCTGAGCCACCATGGTTCACATTGTTGTTTTGTTGATTGAGAAGATATTGGATGATCGGATTGTTATTAGCAATATCCAGTTGTATTATTTGGTCTTCATGATCATGATTTCTAAGCATTTCTGAATTTTCATCATCTGACGAGGATGATTATTGGGAAGTATCATGAAAGTCTGATGGATAATTAGAATTAAAATTCATTTGAAAGAGAACCTTTTATGTGCCATAAGGATGTATTTTTGGATATGCTACAACTAGCATATCTACTAGTATTTATAGCAAATAAAATATTACAACTAATATATTTTGTATAATCACATGTTTGAATGATTTTTTGAAGAATTATTATTATTATTTAAATTAAATGTTATTTAATTGTCAAAAATTGTCATGTGAATTGATAAACGTGAGAATTTGAAATCACTTTGTCATTAAATTGTCCAAAACATTGGGGTTATTTTCTTATTAAATTGTCAAAAGATTTTGTGAGACTCTTTCATTACTTTGCTATTGAATTGTCATGAGAATTGATAAATATGAGAATTTTGGAATCACTATGTCATTGAATTGTCTAAAAATGTAATGAGAACCTTGAAATTATTTTCTTATTGAAATTTTAAAAGTTGTCATAAAATTTTTAATTTGTCATTGAATAGTCAAAAGTGTCATGAAATCTTTAAACCACTTTGCCATTGAATTGTCATAGCAAACTGATTAAAGTGGGAATTTTAAATAGTTTTCTCTTGAATTATCCAAACTTGTCATAATGGATTGATAAACATGAGAATATTAGGTTACTTTTTATTTTATTATGAAGTCATCTCATAATAATTTAAATTATAAATTTTTGACTAACATCTATAAATAGCATGTGCATCTTCATTTCTATACACAACACATTCCATAGTTTTCTACACACATATTTTCTTAACAATAATGTATGAGCGTTTTTCTCGTTCTACTGGGTATTCGAAGGAAGAATATCAACTTTGATTTCAAGTCTATATGAATATTTCTCAAGATCCAATTGAAGGTATTATCAAACATCTGACCAATTTTGGATCGTGTACTTGAAGCTTTTGAAAAGGGAAAAAAATGAAACTTGGAGTGAATGTACAAAAATATCTTTCCAAAAGTGCTTTCAAAATATTGAGAAAACATAAAAAAAATTACATTCATGCATCAAACAATGTGAAAATAGATGTCCGAGCGGTGCTTCAAATGATGATATCGTAAATGTTAATATAAATTTTCTTAGTTATTCATTGTTTTTAACTATATTTTTATTTATGTTATAAATTTATATGCAGATCAACCAAGCTAAAGAAATGTTTAGGGAAGATCCAATTAAATCTCGTTGAAAATGTGAAGATGTATGGAATTTGTCAAAAATTTCGAAAAGTGTAAAGATGGTTCTAGTCTTGCTAAAAGAGATGCAAATCTATGTGGGTTTGGGTAGACATCTCCAGAGTCTGAAAATCCTATCTCTGACTAAATTATATGAACATCTCCAGGTTTATCTTCATTTTCTATAAATTTAGAATAATAAGACATTAGTGGCAGATCTCCATCTTAACAACCAGTTAAAGTGAAAAAAAAAAGAAATGAAAAGAAAGAATGATGATCAAACATATGTTGTTATCAAAAAAATTGAAGAAGGAAACCAACAACTCTTGGAACAATTAAAGAAGATAAATGCACAAAGGCAACACCACTTAGAGATGCAAAATAAAAATTATACATTGAAGGAGTTCAAAGAAAAAAAATTAAATGTTTTTTGAAAACTGAAATTCTATAGAAGATCCAAATATTCAAGCATATGTTGAAGGAGAACAAACACGAATCTAAATGGATGAATCAACAACCTCTTTCTTCATCAATTTCATTTGGAGATTTTTAATGATATTAATGGATCTGGAAAAAATCTACCAGAATATTAAATCATAATAATGTTTTATGATAAGTTTGAATCTCTTTTATTTTTATTATGGATTATGTATTTTTAGTTTATTAATTATATTATTGTTGTGTTTTCTAATTTAATATAAGTTATTAGTGCATTTAAAGTTTCAGCTAATTTAATAATTATTTTATGAATTAAATGATATTTAAAAGTATAAAGTTATAATATATAATTTTATTAATGTAGAAAATGAAAGCTTGTAAAAGTGAAGAACCATTTTGTAAAGAAAAAGTTCAACATTATATTTTATGTTTAGAGGGAAAAAATAGAATATCTTTGAAGATGGTTTAATAGAATATTTCTATTACAGAGTAAACCATTTAGAGTAAAAATTATAAAAAAATAGGTTTGAATTAGAAATGTCTTTATAGTATGAAATATAGAGGGATGTTCTTTTTTACTCTATATTTAGAGTGAAAAACATCATTATATATTTCATATATAATATAGTAACTCTATAATAGAGTAATTGTATTATAGAGTGAACTATTGTAGCAAATTTAATTTTATAATAGAGTTACTTTATTTTATATTGAAATATAGAAGATAAAATAGTGTTTCATTTGAGATGTCTATAAACTCTCCTACTACTGAAAAACACACATATTGACATTGATTAATTTGATTGAAATTTGTAAGAAAATACTTGCTAGTTGCTAATGTTTGGGACAATGTGGGTATTGATTCAAAACCGGTCTAGAGAATTGATTTGAAGAATATAGCACGAAAATGTAACAAAACAGAAGTATGTGGTAGAAAAGAAAGATCTAGAGAAATACGAAGGAGCTGATGATAAATATAACTCTTACAAGTTTCCAATATCAGAATCCAAAAGTTTTCCGTCTCCTCCTCCGATTCCTTCTCCCTCCTTTTCTTTTCGATCGCCAATTTAACCATTCCATGGCTCTTCCTCACCATTTAGATCCTCATCTACAAGACTCTAAGAATTTCAGGTAACAATCTCTTCTCTTATTTCTTCTTTTTTTTTTTTTTTAATTAAAAAATCCCCAATTATGCAAAGTTTCTGACAGTAAAACCCTAATTTCGCTACGTTCAGAGACTTATGCGGCCAGATATCTCCAGAATTAGGCTTCAACAGCTCAACGAATCTCCATGACCAATCTCAGCATCCTCCGTATATTCCTCCCTGTAATTTGAGCTCCCTTTTCTTTCAAATTAGGTTTCTCAAGATATGAGATATCCTTAGGTTTTAAAAATTCTTGTGTTTGAATTTGATCAGTCCACGTTGCTGGTTTTGCACCGGTTGTGCAAGTCGATGGCTCAGATGGTGCCGAGTGGGACAGCTATGGTCAGAAGAGGGAAATGGATTTCCTTGAGAACAATTCTCAGATATCTTCAATTGATTTTTGGCAAGGCCGGTCTGTCTCTACCGGGTTGGGTCTCTCTCTCGACAACGCTCGTATCGGCTTTTCTGATGGCTCTGCTTTGTTGTCTCTCGATGTTGAGCGAGAGTTACAGAGGCAAGATGCAGAAATCGATCGATTTCTCAAGATTCAGGTGATCTCTGTTTGGTCTGTATCTGCTTAATCCATATATATTGTGTAGCTTCTTGGATGTATTGATTTGTTTTTATCTTCAACAGGGAGACCAACTACGCCGTGGGATCCTCGACAAGATCCAGAGGAGTCAAAACAAGACAGTCTCACTCATGGAGGAAAGAGTTGTCCAGAAGCTCCGTGAGAAAGACGAGGAACTCGAGATGATAAACCAAAAGAACAAGGAACTCGAGGTTCGGATTCAACAGATGACAATGGAAGCTGAGGCATGGCAACAACGTGCAAAGTACAACGAGAACATGATCGCTGCTCTAAACTACAACCTGGAGCGAGCTCACGGACCACCAAGAGTTAGCATTGAAGGATGTGGAGATAGCGAAGTGGATGATACAGCGTCTTGTTTCAATGGCAGAAACAGTAAGACGACAACGATGATGTGCAGGTTTTGTGGAGTGAGAGAGGTGTGTATGTTGCTGTTGCCATGTAAGCATATGTGTTTGTGTAAGGAGTGTGAGAGGAAGCTTAGCTCTTGTCCTTTGTGTCAATCTTCCAAGTTTCTAGGGATGGAAGTATACATGTGATGTGATATTTGCCTTAAAAATGAAAAACTCTAATTAGCTAACGAACTCATTTATAATTTGTCATGTTTTGTATGTTAATATCATCTTCGGTTGTGTCCAATCTTTTTCAGTCAACTAGATGGACATTACTAATCAAAAACTATTTCTTTAATAAGACACAACAAGCTTTGTTACCCTTTTAATTCATTATCGTCTTGGAGTAGGTTAGGCTAGATTATCAAAACTTATTTATAAAACTATTCTTGAAATAGAGACCAAATCGCTCGCTAAACTCTTGTAAAGCTGTGTAAACAACTTCAACTTCATCATTTTCCTCCTCTATTTATTTAACTCCCCTTTTTAAGACGCACACGGCACACATAATGCTACCAATTTTTTTTGTATCATCAGTTTCACACAATGCTCAAGTCCAAGTCCATAAGGATTTATACGATGAATAAGAAGCCGAACGCTCTGAGTGACGACTGATGAGCATATGGTTAGAACAAAGCTTCGCATTACGTGATTACTTCAATGGAGACGAAGCTCTGCATATCCTTTGGGAAATTACCTTCTTCCTTCCCTCATTTTTATATATGTTCAAGCTTCCATTTTCTCAATTATTACCCGAATGTTCTAGGTTTTCGACAAATAATTTTGACTGTCTGATGGTCTGTTTACTTTTTTTTTCAGGTTCTTGGCTTTTATGTACAAGACAATGTACAGAATTAGTGGACTATCGATTACTGGTCAAGATACTATCGTTTATTCCGACAAAAGTTGTTATCTCAACTATCATTTCTGAAACAATGGGAGTAGGGCCGTCTAAATTTTTCAAAAAGCTAGTAATGCCCTACATTCAAATACAAATTTTTGTCCTCACTTTTCATATACATTTCTAAAGTGCCCTAAGTCAATTGTTGTATAAAATCGGGATGCCCTAACGGCCAGCTCCTTTGTCTATGCTTCGTAACGGGCCTGAATGGAAATTTCTTTGGATGTGGTTGCCAAAACTTAATTATGATGAGGATTATATCAATGGTCCTCCCTCTTCTGCCTTAACTCACCGAGACTTTATCGTCAAGAAACTGCCTTTACATAGAGCTTTGGTAATAGAAAGCTTGACCCTGACATCTTGTCTTTCTGGTAGGTTATTTCTACTTGACAATATCAAACTATAGGTTGGAATTACAGTTTCTCATTCCATACTTAATAGGTCTAGGTGTGTTTGTTTAGGACGGTTAATGTACTCGGTGGTGCCAATCGACGAGTGTTTGTGATGTATAGTCGCGGATGGACTGGGAGCGTATTTTTGGAAGTTTATGCGATGTCTCGCTTATTTTCAAAAATTACACTTTATTTGAATGATAGTTCAAGTGTCTGATATCAGGATCTCGATTTTTATGAAGTATGGAATGTTTTTTGATTTTCAGATGGAACGATGTTTGGAAATTTTTTGAAACGAAGTTCAGGATATTTTGTTGAAGTCTTTATTGCGAAAAAGTTTCAAAAATATTGAGTATAAAGAGAACATTTTAGAATGTGGGAGTATACAAGTATTCGTATATGTACCCACTCCCCCCCCCCCTTTTGGAGAGGAGGATAGGTAAACTTGTATTTCGACGAGTTGCCAACATACCCTTTTCGAGGATCAAGCCATCTCGTAGTTCAGTTTTTGGCGAGGAGTGTTTTTACTCGGCCCAAGTTGCGTTGATCGCCTTATTCGCGGGGACTGTTGTAGGATCGGTGTCTTCTTCTGGGATTATCTCTTCCGGTTGGGTTAAAGCGTTGGGCTCTGATGCCTTCTAGCCTTCTTTGTCTGGAGCCGCTGCTTGGTTTGATGACTCAGAGACGTTTTCAGTTGATAGCTGAGTGGTCTTTGCCCGTTTGGGTTTCTCCATTGCGGTGGTCAAGATTTGCCTCAGCTTTTGTTCGGCAATGAAGCAGCGTCTCGACTGTTTCTAGCATCTACAGATCGCGGCTATTCCAAAAGGAGTCGGAAACTTGATGCCAAGGTGATATGTCAAGAGGAATGCCTTCATGGAATTTTTCCAATGCGTGCCCATGATCTTGGTGGTCTCTTTCACTGTGACTGGTAGCTTGATTGATCCGAGCGTCATCGTTGTCGTGCCTGAGAAACCGGTCAAGGGTCTTGGCGACGGCTCGACCTCGTCCAGCTCAACGTTCATCCTATGGAGAGTATCCTGGAAGAAGACACTGACAGAACTTCCCGTGTTGATGAGAACTCTGGCGACCTCGAGTTCTCGTATCACTAAGTCGATGAAGAGCGGGTTGCAGTGGGGCTCGTCGATTCCGGTGGCTTATGCGTCCTTAAAGGTGATTGCGTTGCTCTGGATACTGCACGGTGGCGTCGGACAGTTTGCGCTTGTCTCAGCTTTCCTTACGTGGATTTGATCGATGAAACTTTGTCGCTACAGTATTATGAACCCCCGATAATCATGCTCACTCTGCGACGATTATTATCGTTGGCCTTATCATCTTGGCTTCTTCCGCGCTTCTTACATGACTAGTTCCCTTGAGACGAGTTTTCTACTTAAGGCATTTTATCGTCTCTTAGGGGGGGGGGGGCGGATGGAGTTGCGGATGAGGTCTTTTATGCTCGAGACTCCGAAGAGTTCTCCTGCATGTAACTTCGTGGCCAGTCTCGCCCCAAGAACCTTGCAGTTAATGGTCGAGTGACCGCGAGTTTGGTGAAAGTCGCAGTAGGTGTTTTCGTCGTAATGGAATTCCAGGTCCACGTGTTTCCCGTCGTTCGACCTTGTTCTGAGACATGAAGGGAGTTTTACGAGCCTCCTCGAGCAGACGATTGATCTCCGGCACGGGACTAGTAGCGTGATGAATCTGGGATTTCACCGCCCTAACTTCCACATCTGTTTTCCTGAGACGATCGCGGAGGTCATGAATCTCGGAGTCTCCGCTAGCGTTTTTCCAACCTTGTCGGTGTTTACTGCGGGTGTTCCAGGTCTGTTCTTCAGCCAGTTCTTCCTGCTCGTCCCAGAAGGTTTTTTCCTCTTATGCGGTCATAGGATTTTCGAACTGAGTATCGTCCCGTGTTGCACGGCTCTTTGTGCGGCGCAGATGCACATCTGTGTGTTCGTCTGTAGGCACAGACTGACTGCCGGAGTCTACGTCAACATGCTCGATTTCCTCTTCTTTCTTTTCTTCTTCCAAAGGTGGAAGATCACTCGGATTCTTCTGTGCTGGTGCCGGAGTGATTTTGTCGGAGTTCTGTTCTGACAATTTTCCATGTGCGTTTGCGGATCGATCCAGGGGAGTTTTGAAATCGAGTATTCTTCCGCAGATCCTGGTGGTTCCATGCGGAAGGACGCTCCTTGTTCTTGCTGTTAGGGTTTCAACCTGCTTAAAGAGAGAACTCGTGACTTTATCATGTTCTGCTGACTTCGTTTCAAGAGTCGAGAACATCTTCTTGATCTCCTCGAACGCTGCAGTGTTAGCGTCGGCGTTAACCGCAGATACGTTCGTTGCTGGAGTCTTTTTAACGTTGGTGTGGATGTTGATTCTGTCGGGCGTTTGTTGGTTGTTGAGATCGTCTTTGGTCATGTCTGATCGAGCGTCGGTGGTTTGAAGATTAGATTGATCTGTACCCTCCAATCCTTCTAGTGCCATACTGTGGGAACCGAAATTTGCTCTGTCGATTTCCGTCGATATAGGAACGTTAGGAGAAACCCTAATTTCCCAGAAAGTCCCGGATATCTGCTAAACCACACGCCAAGCAATTAGAACAATAAAAACAGACAAGAAAATATGAGAATCGAATAAGAACGAAGAGAAGTCTTATTCTGAATCTGTGTAAATCGTTACAACAAGGTGAAAATATCGGTCACAAAAGTTGACGGTGAATTCCCTGATTCTAGTAACCTAAGATTGCTAGACTTAATTGAGACGCGGCTCGATAACAAAAACGTAAATTTGTCTATTCGCTCTAAGTGCTAAAGTTGTTGTGTGTAAAAGTCTCCCTTGGCTCTCGCCTTGAATCCTCCTTATATATTCTTCTTAGGTCGCTTTAGCTTTTCCCTTTTGTCGTCAGGCCCATATATATCTCTTGGCGGAAATATTCCATTTTTCTCCGATCTTTGTAATTATCTTTCAAACTTAACATTAATCTTCGGAAACTTGACATTTATCCTTTCCTGTAAACAAAACATAAACCTTCATAGTATCTATGGGCTCATTCCTGTACAGGATCGTTAGTAGGGTTTTCACCGAGTTTAGACCTTTTTGGGCTGTTTTTCGTCTTCATGCGTTTTTATGATTTTCTTGGGAATCAGCCTTAATATGACGTTGGTTTAACGAAAGCCCATATCATTCGTACTCTCGGACGGTTGGAGTTTAGAACCAACCATCGTCATTCCATACGAACAATAAGAACTTTATACGATAACACAAGTTTTCGTGACTTTTATAGTAAAGTCTTAGATAACTCCGATCGAAAGGAAATGAAAGACTGTATACCAATATTGTGTAGAGGATAGCATCGGAGACAGACCGAGAACGCATTTTCTTGTATTGTCCCGGTCGCCACATGGCGACCAGATAGAGTGACCGACCGGTTGCCATATGGCGACCGGTTCGTGTGCAGACCGGTCGCCATATGGCGGATCGTGGGATCAACCATATGGCGACCAGATTGAGAGATCAACCGGTTTTTTAGGTAATCCTTAGACGAAAATTACTGCAGAAATAAACGTTTATCGTAGACTTTCCGGTGTTGACTCCCTTACAACTGATTTTGACCCCAACACTGACCCCGTGAGATCTCCAACTCTTACCCTTCCATCTCTTTTCATAGTCCCCAAATCAATAACAGCTTCAGCTCCTGAACTAGCCTTACCACTGATTCTGCCATCAACCGGACCCTCTGCTAATCAACCACGTAGACTCACCAACCTTGAGTACTATAAGTAACTCTCGATTCTCATAACAAATACCCTTACCAGATAACCCATCTGAATCTTCTGTTTTCATATTTCAATCAACAAACACTTGAATCTGTTCGGCGATGCTCCGGTGACCTCAACGTAAGTTTTTTTAACAAAGATCTCTTCACTATCGTTAGTTAAACCTTGTTGCTCTTTAGAGAGAACAAATCACTAACCAACTTGTCCCCCTTGTTTTTCATGTACTCCCTCTTATGAGACGACCAAACAACAGAGC